TATTGTGACACGATACAATATCTTTGTGGTTGGAATTATTTCAACATTAGACAAATTATAAAAAATATTTTTATTCTTTCCTTGCGATTTAAATATAATTTTTTGTTGTATAATGTATATTACGTCTGATTATATATACACATTATATTATATTATTCTCTTTTTTAGGACTTGTGTAAGTATATTCGCGGCGAAATGAAGCTGGATCAGGAGATAGCCACGATTCAGGGCATTATTGCTTATGGAATTGAGCGGGAAGAGCTAAGAGATGAAATTTATGTGCAGTGTATGCGCCAAGCAACGAATAATCCTAATGCCGAGTGGGCGGAACGTGTGTGGCTGTTGTTATGCCTAGCAATCGTCGCTTTTCAACCAAGCAAGCTGCTCTACAAGTACTTTGTTTCCTTTTTGAGAAAAATCTCGCTCTCGAAGGCAAGCTGAGGCAATATGTGCAATGGTGCGTGGATAATTGCAAGAACACCAAGGTATCCTGCAGGCAACATCCACCGTCCACGGTAGAGATTGCTGCCATGAGACGATTAGGAACTATAGTATGCAGATTCTTCTTCTTGGATGGAAGAACGAAAGCGATCGACGTGCATCCGACTGACACAGCTGCTGATGCCGTCGCTAAACTGGGAGAAAAGTTGGGTCTTCGATCGCTGGAAGGTTGGGCCATTTATCAGAGTAGACCGGATGGAGAAGAACACGTGCGAGCTCACGATTATCTATACGATGTAATTGCTGCATGGGAAATGTAAGATACATAATTATTTTTTCATGTAATAATTATATAATATATTGTAATGTCTAATATAGATATTATATTATATATATTGTATAACAATTACATTAAAAAACATATAATAATTAATATACATTATTGTATTATAATAATTATACATTTACAATTAATATATACTAACATTCTTAACTACAGGAAGCAATGCAAATTGAATACTGCACAATCGACATTCTCAACGTTGCGACGCGGCAACAATACTACTTTGGGTAGCGGTGACAATCGTTTCGTCTTCAAACGAAGACTATTCCGTAATCCAAGAGAAATTTCACAGGACCCTGTGGAAGTTAATATGCTGTACGCACAAGCAGTCTACAATGTTGTAAAGGTGAGAGAGAACGTGTAATAATTCATTATAACATTTTGTTTCTGAAAGATTTTATTCTTATCATTGCCTGTCCTTTTTTTAGTGTGATGATTTCCCGGTATCTGAAAAAGTAGCGTTGCAATTGGCAGGATTGCAAGCGCAGGTGTCCCTCGGTGATCCTAAGGATAATGACAGATTGGATTATTACAGCGAAGTGGACAGTTTCCTGCCCTACAGGATTAGTCGAGCTCGCGGCGATGATGTTTGGGTGCCGATTATAGCACAAGCACATCGACAATACGGTGCTGGACGCAAGGAACTTGCTGCCAAAGTCCTATATCTGTCCTGCGTGATGCAATACCCTCTTTACGGCACAACGATGTTTAATGTGACTTATCGCGGGTACTGGTCCTATGGCAATCAGCTGATTCTCGGCATCAACTGTGACGGTTTGATGCTAATCAAGCCGGACGACAAATTCGTTTTATCCGAGTATCGTTACCAGGATGTCGAGAGCATTATGTTGGATCCGAGTGACTCGTTCATCACGCTGTCGCTGTTACGACACAATCCTGACAGTTCGCATAAATGTTTTGTTTTCGAGACTCCGCAGAAAAACGAGATAGGTAGTCTAATCGTCAGCTATTGCTCGGCGCTTGCGGGTTGGATCACGGAGAACGAGGTACCCACGAAAAAGCTCAAGTGTATCACCAACGAGGATCGTATCCGGCTTTATCACAATTTGGTCAATTGTCGGCGAACTTTAGTCGACTCAGAGATTCTCAGGAAACCACAAGATTCCGGCGGTGGTTTCCTCCGGAATACACTCCGGAGATTGTCGAAGCACCGGATAGAAAAACTGAGACAGGAACACGGAAGTGCCGATCATGGCGAGACTTACAAGGGTTTTCCTTATGCTTATTGGGCATTTAGCAGGCAACAAATACCGCAAAGTTTATCAAAACTGCCCGATCCCGATGAACAAGTATCTCTGAGTATCTTCCAATTGATCCTAACGTATGCAGGACTTGGTCAGAATGGGGATACGGTGCGTAGGGTTGAGGATGAGCATGTGAATCTCATACAAACCGTGATGGAACGTTGCATACGGAAAGAAAATCTATTGGGCGAGTTGTACCTCCAATTAATCAAGCAAACAACCGATCACCCTGATCCTAATAATCGTGTCAATCTCCGACATTGGGCATTACTTTCACTCGCGTGCTCCGTGATTCTGCCACCTCAGAAAACTATACGCAAGTACTTGATCGCACATCTAAAGCGATGCGCTAGTGATTATGTTACCGAGGAAGGCAAATATGCGAGGTTCGCAGAGAAGTGCCTTTATAAGACTCAGGGCACTCGCAGACGGCAGTGGCCGCCAAGTCGCGAGGAGATCATGTGCACCATTAATCGTCGACCAATTTACGCGAGATTCCATTTTATGGACGGTCAATATCATGCCGTCGAGTTTCATCCATCTGCAACTGCCAGGGATGTTATGGAGATCATAAAAGTAAAAATAGGACTCGAAGAAACTGCCATGGGTATATTCGATATTCTTATTTTTTTTATTTTATTATTATGTATATTTTATTATTTTGTATCTTCCCAAATTATTATCATTTTACATGTATTTAAAAAAAATTTTTTTTTCTCTTCAGTGAACTTCTCACCATAAAGATGTAATTCCAGAGCTTTAATTAAATTTTAAATTGCGAAATTTAGAAAGATTTACATTTATTTAAAATCTAAATTTATTTGATTGATTTTATTGCTATGTTTAATATTTTATCAGGTTATGCAATTTATGAAGTATTGGGGCCGACCGAACGATCACTGATTCCCGAGGAGAAGATAGCTGATGTCATGTCCAAGTGGGAGCGATATAGGGCATCACAGCAGAATCAACAAAGCGCACAACGCAAGCATGCGCATCACTTTTTCTTGTTTAAGAAACACTTGTTCCTAGATCAATACATGAATCTAGACGATCCCGTGGAAAAGGAGCTGTTATATCATCAAGTACTGCATGATTTGCGAGCCGATCGATTCCCCATTACTGAAAAAGAAGCTGTGAGTACTATTGCAACTTCTCTGCGCTTAATTTCCACAATT